TATATATATATATATATCCTAGACCTTTAAACATTCTGGTCATCTATATCTGCAACTTTGTACTCCTTGAATTACTCCCATTTTCTCTATTTAACTGAAACCCTGCAACCAAAAGTGCTTGAAAAAATTATATTTAGACATATGCTTCATAAATATACATATATATGTATATATGTATACATATATGTGTGTGTATAGAGATGATCAAGTGTGGGTTGTTTTGCCTTACTTTGTTGATCAACATTGACATAGAGCCTCCCAAAGCAATACAGACTATTGCTATCACATCTCCACTACTCACTACCAAACATAACTTGAGTGTAAGATTTTAATAATGAAGACATCACGTACTTTGGAGATATAAGATTAAGAAATCAAGCTGGCACTGACCAGGAAACTTCCTCCTTGTTGGCTAGCTTTCATAATACCACAAGGTGCCATGCATGATTCTGGGATAAAACAGTCATCAACAGTGTTGTTTAGCTTATAACCCCGGAAGCTATAATACCAACTGGCCTGAAAAGATATGTCCATAAGTGTAATATTTGCTGGAATTGTTTCTGATTGAATTAAAAACTATTTCACAGGAGTAAACTTAGTCTGGTACTATACAATCTGGCTATATACTCATTGGCCCCAGGGGTGAATGTATCCTTATTATTTTCTTGAATGGACATAATTTCAAACTACTATCTAAATCCATATCTCTATACCCATAGATTAATGAAATTATCTCTCAGTCCTCATCAGAGAAGATTCTTGATGCAGTGGACCAGGGTTAATGAAGAAAATCACATGTGGTCAAAGTATAAGAGATGTATTTGTGGAGTACTCAATTCTAAATGAAACATCTATATGATACCTCCACAACGCTTACAGAATACTGAGGGAGAGGAGGCTGAAAGAGTATAAGAGCCATAAGTCTATGAGAACAAAGCAAAACAGTGTCTTTTAGACATCACAGGATGCACTTGTGAACTCACAGCTGCTGTGGTTGGTTGTACAAAACCTGCACAAGAGATAGTCATATTCCAGCTTAGAGGATAGTGGGGCTCACAAGCCTTGTCAATAGCTGAACAGTTGTGGACAAATGATGGCTTCTGAGAGAAAGAGAGCCAGCATTCTTTAAGGGTGTGGCCCCTGGTATGTCAACAATGCTGCCAGTTGAAGTTCTCACACCAATACATATATAAACATCTGAAATTGGACTCAGTGAATAACAAAAACCAAATAAATGAGGACATTAATTTGGAGGGAGTGAGAGTGTGAAGGTGAACATAGAAGGAAGTAAGGAGGGGAGTGGGAAGTAAATATGATGAAAACACCCTATATGAATTTATGAAATTCTCAAAGCATTAATAAAAAATATATGATTATCCTAGTTTGTTTCTCAATTGCTGTAACAAAATACTCTGACCAATACCAAATTGTGGAGGAAAGGGCTTATTCAGTTTACCTCTCCTGGGTCACAGTTCATCAGGGAGCCCAAGGTCAGAACTCAGGGCAGAAACCTGGAAGCAGAAACTGGAGCTCAGACCATGGAGGAATGCTGCTTACTGGCTTGTTCCTCTTGCCCCTGCTCAGTCTGCTTTCTTATCCAACACAGGCCCACCTGCCCAGGGGTGGCACCACCCACAGTGGGCTGGGCCCTCCCATATCACTCAACAATCAAGAAGATGCCCCACAAACTTGGCCACAGGCCAGTCCTATGGAGGAAATTCCTCATTGAGGTGACCTCAACCAAGATGTGTCAACTTGAAAATCCAATGGAATGTAATGAAACAGGTGAACAGATAAAAGCAATCTAGCATTTCAAGGAATTCTGGGAAGTATTTTCTGAGAAAATTTCTTCAAGGAACACAGTAGTTCTGTAACACTTTGACACTTTGAGAGGCATATTAACAATGAGTAAAGCTCTGCTTGCATGGGAAAATCCTAGATTAGAGGACACCTAGTAAACATGAATACAGGGTACCAATAAGGATATTCTGTCCACATATGACATCAGGGCTTGACTCAAAGAATTAGGTAGGATTTTATGCTATCTTAGCACAGCAAGCTGTAACAGGTTGGTGAATGCATGATGGAAATTAGCAAGGGATTGTGAGCATCTGCTTCATACAGTTTGATCATAAAATGAAACAGCAAGGAGCATCTTTATAAAAATTTCAATGAGAAAGAAAGAGCTAGGGATATATATTGTAGAATTGTCACTATAATAAATGTAATTTGGTTCGTATTTCAAAATTTCTCATGAAATATATTTCAAATGTTTCACTGTAAGAAAATATGTATATAAGATGAAGAATTTGTAAATTAACTCAATTTAATTATCTTGCAATGAAAACACATCAAAATATAATGTTATTCACCCTAAGAAAAGGCCATTATTTTGTCAGTTTGCAAGTAAAATAAAAAAATAAATAACAGCATCTTGGGAAATGTCTTAATTGTAGGAAAAGCATGAAGACCTGAGTTCGGATCCCCAGAAACCATGAGAAATACCAGGTGACAAAGTAGACACCTGTTAATCTAGCACTGGTAAGGAAGAAAGGTGGATACGTGGGGCTTGACAACCAAGTAGGCTGGCTGAATTGGGCTACTCCAGGCTCAGCATGAGGCCCTGCTTATAAAAAAAAAAAGCAAAGAAAGATTGAAGAAGACACCCAGTGTTTAGCTATGGTTTCTATACATACAGACACACCCACACACGTACACACCTACCCCCCCACACACACACACAAAGGTACCTGCACACAAATGAGTATACACATACTGTCCATAAATAACAGTGAGGATAGTATATTACTACATACACATGATCAGCAAACTCTTTTCATGGGGGAAAAATTAAAATATCATGCTCTTAGGAGAAAAAAAAAGCACGTAAGGAAAGGGACTATAAATTTAAAATCTCACAAAAAATCCTATACTTCTAAAACAAATTTATTTAAAGATCAAGAAAATTTTTGAGGAAATAAATACCCTCGGTGCATTCAAAGATGTTGTATTCTCAATAAGGGAAGAACATGAAGTAAAAAGTCAAATATTAACAGAGATTTTAAAACAATTTAATGATATGCAACAGATGGCCAGATAAAATAATCTAGAATTTTAAAGGATTCCCCAGTTGAATCAGAGAATCAAATACATTCAACACTTAGTAAAGAGATTAGTAAAGTGCAAAAATAAAATAAAAATGTTTATTTTGTGCAAATTTTCAAAGAATGTAGGGGAAAACTTATAAGTCACATATTACAAAAACACTATAGATAGCAAACAGACATGAAATTTAATGAGTTTTACGTTACAGAGGAACAGTATAAAATAGACACGATTTATTTCTCTAAAATCATGTGTACATACTAAAAGTAAACATTGAAATCAAAGCAAGAAATGATTTTAAAAAGACACAGTTTTGTGGACAATGACAGTAAAGCTAAGCAATTGATTAGACAAACAATATTGCTCAGAATGAAACTAAACATGACAGCCTCAACTTACACAATAATTATTTAATTCCAATTTTCAGAGGCCAAAGGAAACATATTCAAGGTTCTGAGATGCAAAGTTAAAAACTTCCTTAATTTACATGATAAAGAATTTCTCATACATAAAATAACATCAATAATTTCACAGATACTATATATGCAGTTAGAGAATTGAACACTTCAGTAATTATGGAAGAAATACTACTTAAACTAATATTACATAATTAATTAATGAATATGAACTTTATAAATAGGGAAAAAAATCCATAAAAAGACATGTGATAAATATCCAAATCAATTAAATAAAACATTAAATTTTAAACTATTTTTGATATTATAGTTGGTGAACTGAACAGAAAGTCATACTGATTATAGTAAAATATCTGAATCAATATTAACCAATTAAAATTTAAAACACGTATTATAAAATCAGGCAATGTTTACCAGTGGTAGAAATTTGTATGGAGATATGGTGAAACCAAAATATTCTATGCTCCACTTTCTACAGAGACTTCTAGATATGCATGACAACTTTGATTATTTGATTTGAATAATCATGTTGAGAGATTTGAAGTCATGTTGAGAGACAAGCAAAATCATCATAAAATAAAATTCAGAATTCCTATCATTTCAACTAGAGCATAAAAGAAATATATACTTGGGCGGGCCAGTGACGTCCACGGTGCAGGGCCGCACTGGACCAGCGAGGGGAGCTGCAGCTCTTCCCAGGGAAAGCGGCCGGTCTTCCCCAGAAGCCAGCCTGCCTTTTGTTTGTTTTCCTGCTGGAGGCCGGAGCTCCTCGGGCTCTCGAGGTGTGCCACGCACCGCGCGGCCCGGTTGACCGCAGGGCCTTGGCCTCGGAGCCATGCCCTGCGCACCCGCCGCTCTCCCGAAGGGCGCTTCGCCCGGGTTCATGGCCAGTTTCGGACTGGAACTTCAAGTCTGTTTGCTATGAAGAGCTAAAGGGACAACTCCTGTATTAAAAAAAGGAAGGCCTTTGATCATCGGGCAGAAGACTGATCTCTGAAAATATGTATTTGGGAGATAGCCACGTTCTGTTGAATATCTTGTGCTGGTGCTGCCATCAAAAAGTCTGGTTACAGTCTGGGGAGGCCTGCTACCAATGCAGGACTGAACCACCTCAGCCCTGAGATGAATGTCCCGATAGAGCGGGCACACCATGAATAGATACACACAGATCAAGCAGCTTGGAGATGGAACCTATGGTTCCGTCCTGCTGGGAAGAAGCATCGAGTCTGGGGAACTGATTGCCATTAAAAAGTAAGTTTATACTTCATGCACATGAACTGCCTGTGAGCTCTACCTGTCAAGATGATTTCAACTCTGTCCTGTCCATTGCCTGAATCATTCCTAAGGGAAATAGACAGGAGGCATAGAGACAATGTTAGGCAATAATTCTAAAGTTATAAAGAAGCTTCTGATAAAAGGAAAGAAATAAGTTGTTTCCTGAGTCTTCTATAAGGAATATAATGTATCAGATATTACAAGGACTTGCATTTATTCACAAACACGGCTTCTTCCACTGGGACTTAAAGCCTGAAAACCTCCTCTGCATGGGACCAGAACTTGTGAAGATTGCAGACTTTGGGTTGGCCCGAGAAATCTGATCAAGACCTCCATACACAGACTATGTATCTACTCAATGGTATAGGGCTCCAGAAGTGCTCCTGAGGTCCACCAACTACAGTTCCCCCATTGATGTCTGGGCTGTGGGCTGCATCATGGCAGAGGTGTACACCCTCCGGCTGCTCTTCCCTGGGGCCAATGAGATTGACACAATTTTCAAAATTTGCCAAGTGTCGGGAACACCAAAAAAGACTGACTGGCCTGAAGGCTACCAGCTATCAAGTGCTATGAACTTCCTTTGGCCCCAGTGCATTCCCAGTAACTTTAAAGACCTTGATTCCAAATGCTAGCAGTGAAGCAATTCAGCTCCTGAGAGACATGCTTCAGTGGGATCCCAAGAAACGACCAACAGCTAGTCAGGCACTTCGGTACCCTTACTTCCAGGTTGGACACCCACTGGGCAGTACCACACAGAACCTTCAGGATTCAGGAAAGCCAGAGAAAGATGTCCTGAGAAAGGCAGGCCCACCTCCTCATATCAAGCCAGCCCCTCCTGCCCAGCCCCCAACCAAGACACATACACTGGTATCTTCACGACCACATCAAACCAGTCAGCCTCCTCCACATCTTGTGTACCCCTATAAAGCTGAAGCTTCCAGGGCAGATCAGCTGACCCATCTTCAGGAGGACAAGCCAAGCCCACTCTTCCCATCCCTCCACAACAGGAATCCTCAGCCCAAAATCCTAGCTGGCCCGGAACACAAAAACGGTGAGACCAAGCCAAAGAGTAGGAGAAGGTGGGGTCTGATTTCCCGGTCAACGAGGGGGTCTGATGATTGGGCTGATTTAGATGACTTGGACTTCAGTCCAGCCCTGACCAGAATAGATGTAAAAACCAAGAAGAGACAGAGCGATGACACTTTCCTCAGATTTGAAATTGTCTTGGATCTGAAGCCATCCGAGCCTGTGGTTACGAGAGCTAGTGTCTCCACCCAGGCTTCCTGCCAGAGGGGAGACACGCCAACCCTGCGGTCTGTGGCGAAGCAGCACTACCTGAAGCACGCTTGATACTTGCCTGGTATAAATATAAGAAATGGCATACTTCCAAATCCCAGTATGGGGAGCGCGCTGGGCTCTCGGGGTCCCTGCACGCACTCCCAGAATGGCGCGGTGGGACGGCGGGCTTCTCGTGTCTCTGTGGGTCTCTGCTACCAGCCTGTCCGGTCGGGTACTGCCCAAATTTTCTCCCCTGCACTTTCCTCAGGATGCGAGATCCACTGGCCACTGGATCACGTAGGAGAGCGCGAGGCGGCTGAAGCTGGGTGTCCGTGAGTCGGTATTGGAAGGATACTGCCCCCTGGAGAGACTGGATCGCAGGCAGTGAAAGACAGGATTCTGCTTAGTCTCAGTGGTACAGCCTTTATTCAGTGACTCTAAGCCTTGGTGATCCAGTTCTCTATTATTGAGAGAAGACTAGGATATTTTATACCATGGGGGTAGTGGTAAAAGCTTTGGCTGATAGATACTTTGTGAGATACTCTATTTGCATATGGAAGTGGGCTCCTGCCATGCTGCCAGACCACTGACTGCCTGAAAAATCACACAGGAAAGCATGATATTTCCAGAGCCAGAGGCCATGTTTATGTTGGGGCATTGGCGGGCACTTCAAAAGGTGAGTCAGGAGGATGCTAGGAAAAGCACTCTATTGTTAAAAGGAGTCCCTGCATTTACGCCGAGCCCTTGGGCTATCCGGTCATGGAGGAACTTCTACTTCACACAACAGGGGTCCTCAACATCCCAGCAAGGACTTTATTCCATCAAATCCATGGTTCAGTTCTGGTTTGTCTGGAAAATCTTCAGGGACAGTATCTGTAATCAGCAAAATAAATTCAGTTGGGTCTGGCTCTACAAGTTCTAGCCGACTGACTGGAAGCTATATCCCTTCCTTTTTGAAAAAAGAAATTGGTTCTGTTATGCAGAGGATACACCTGGCACCTATTCCAGACCCTGCCCCTGGTTACTCTTCCCTGAAGGCTGTGAGACCTCATCCTGGGCGGCCTTTTTTCCACACCCAGCCTAGAAGCACTCCTGGGCTGATTGAACGGCCTCCAGCTGCCCACTCCGTGCACAGCAGGACGGACTGGGCCTCCAAGTACCCATCCTATCGGTGACTCTTGAGCTTCAAGGCTATTCTGTCTCAGATGACTCTGTCCCGCTTACAGAGCCATTGGTCCTATGAAAGCACGAAAGCCGAGAGCTGTTCTTCTAAACAGACACATTTCAATGTTTTTTCTAAAAGTTTTTTTTTTTAAATATTGATTTGAATGCAATACCCTCTTTTTGTATAAAATTATTTTATTCTAAAACTGGGTCTCATTATTTTCTTAAACAACAGTATTTTGTATATATGCATTATGTTTTGGCATTTTATACTGTCAACTTTGTAACGAAACTTTTCAAAGATTAAGTGATTTTCCTTTGTGGGTCCGGATAATATTTTATACAGATTTTGGAAAATGTAATAATGTTGATGCAGTATTGCAACAGGGTACAATTCCAGGCAGTGTGATAGTTCTTTACTCAACCTGTGAAATATTGTGAAATGGTTACCTTTTACACACATGACTTATTAGGATCCCTGGGCTTTCTTGGACTGTCCTTGGGAAAAGGACCCACCTCTCCTCTTAACAGCCTGCATCAGCTGTTTTGGGGGTGGGGGTGCTGTTTGTTGTTGCTGGTTCTTTTGAGACAGGGTCTTTTCTAGTCCAGGCTTGTCTCCCACTCACTCTGTAGCTGAAGATAACTGAATTTCTGATCCTCCTGCCTCCACTTCCCCAGTGCTAGGATTACAGGTGTGTGCTACCATGTTTGGTTTTATGAGGTGCTGGGAATCAAACCCAGGGGTTCATGCATGCTAGGCAAGCACACTACGAAATGAGCTACAGCCACAACCCCATTTTTGATACTATTCCAAATCTACTGTTATACAATTTATTTTTGCTTTATTTTTGTTCCCTAGAACAAATAACTTCATGAATATTTTTTGAATTTTTATACTTTTTAATGCATTCGCACATATCCAAATAAAACCAAGCATAATCATACTGAGCTGTCACATTTTTTCCCCCTTTAAAAAACATCAGGAGCTAGAGATATGGCTCAGCAACTCCAGCTCTACAGGATCCAACACCCTCTTCTCGCCCCAAGAGGCACCTGCACACACACACACACACACACACACACACACACA